CCTGAATCTTTCCCAGGCTCCGCTTCCAGTACTTTAGCCATGGGAAGAGTTACGTGAAGCTGTTGCCAATGTTTAAGACAAGTGCGCGCGGCGCTAATGCGAGAGCGCAATTTTGTAAGGAGACACCTTCAATTCGTGAAGCTCTTGACGACTCGTCCTCAATCCGTGAAGCTCTTGCAGGTTTTTAAGACGAGTGATCGCGGCGCTAAGGCGAGAGCCACATTTTGAGAACGAACCGCCTTCAATCCATGAAGCTCGTTGAGATTCTTGAGACGAATGTGCGTGGCGCCAAGGCGAGAGCCACACTTTGCTCGCACGCTTGAAAGACGAATGTGCGCGGCGCTAAGGCGAGAGCCACATTTTGGAAGCGGCCCGTCCTCCATCTGTGAAACTGTTGCCAATTATTAAGCCTCAGGATCATGAGTGGGAAAGGTGTCTCAGGCGACACGCCCGGCCCGCCCTTCCGAGTGGCCTCGGGGCGCGGCAGGGAGGAGCCAATGCTAAGGAACGGAGGAGGAGGAGGAGGAGGAGGAGGAGGAGGAGGAGGAGGAGGAGGAGGAGGAGGAGGAGGAGGAGGACCAGTGTAAACCCAAGAGTCATCAACGATGTTGGAGTAAACCCTCCCTCCAAGCTCCCTCTTCATAGACCCCTACCACGGTTCATTTCCATTGAGGGAACTGCCCCGTTGGAAGACAACCGTTCGAAGACCCTGAAGCATGCCAAAACATCATCCAAATAGGCTTGCCCTATAGGAGTCCGAGCTCATCATAGGTAATTGGTCTTTAGGACCCCCTCCCTGTTTCCAATGCCCCCCCTTATTTCCAATGCCCGCCCCCCTTTTTCCAATGGCCCCCCCTTATTTCCAATGGCACCCCCCAGCTATTTCCACTGGCGAGTCCTCTGGATTCCTATGGATTCCTATGGGTCGCATGGATTCTTATGCTTGCATGCTCTTGCTTGCTTGCTTGCTTGCTTGCTCTTGCTTGCTTGCTCTTGCACACTTACTTGCACTTGCTTGCTTACTCTTGCGTGCTTGCTCTCGCTTGCTTGCGCTTGCTTGCCCTTGCTTGCTTGCACTTGATCGCTGGCTCTTGCTTGCTTGTTATTGCTCGCTTGCGCTTGCTTGCTTCCGCTTGCTTGCCTGTGCTTGCTTGATGTTGCTCCTTCCGTCCTTCTCCCGTCCTGCTCCCGTTCTCCTTTCGTCCTCCTGCTCTCGTCCTTCTACTGTCCTCCTATCTATTTGGAGTCAACGCTGGCTGATATTAATTTGCAGGAATTTTACGGATTCCCATCATCAACTTACCTGACATGGTGTTTTGGAGGGATTCAAGAATATGCGGGCGCACCAGTTACGTTGATTCTCTGTGTTGAAGTCCTTGGAATTGCGTTTTGGCACGATTCAGCATCGCCAAAACGCGTGTGTGTGTGTGTGTGTGTGTGTGTGTGTGTTTCCCCCCCCCCCACAGTGTGTGTGTGTGTGTGTGTGTGTGTGTGTGCGTGTGTGTTTTTCCCACGAACTGCTGTTGGGCATTGTGCCCCTTCTTTCCGTACACATGTCGGGCGTCCAAATGAGAGGGGTCGGGCGTTCAGGGGCCGCGGATTGCTAAGCATCTCGGAGGATGCCTGGGCAAAGGGTGACAAACATAGCAGACCCCCGCCTCCCCTCGTTGTGGAGAGCATGGCGATGGGCGTTTTTGGTAATTTTCGGCCTTCAGGGGCCCTTGCCAGGCCCCAGGAATGTCAACAAGACGACTCGGGATGAAAATCCAGCCCCAGGGAAGGGATCTAGATCTCTTCTGGTCGACTACATGTAAGAGTGACCCTTCGCCGGAGAGAGCTCTGTTGCGGGCCCACTGGGGCCCCTCGATCGCCGAACGCAATGCGATAGCAGCGTCTTGCGCGCTCGGGTTTGGCGCCCCCCCCCCTCCCCCCCCCCGCGGCCCTTCGAGAGCCGAGCACCAGAGGTTTCACTTGCCCAGGATCACCCGTGCGTGGAGCCGATCCGGGGGGCTCCGATCTGCGACGAGACGTTTTGTTCTGGGCCCCTGCGTCCTTCCGCGACCTCGGCCGCCGGTGGCCGTCCTCGGTCCCTGGGGCCATGCATGGGATTCGGGACGCACGGCTACAGTGCCGTTTTTGATACATGCTCCGCGTGCGGATCATGTATTAAACATGCAGGGATTTAGTAGTAAAAACGACGATGAGTACATGCATAAATTTATCCATACATCAATCATGGATTAAAAATCCCATACTTTTAAAACAATCCAATGTATAAAAAAAAACTGCCCTGTACCCCCTGGGAGAGTGGTCGGGCGCTCAGGAGCCGCGGGTCGAAGACGGCACCATCGGATGCTGCCTGGGGTGGGCGTGGCCCTGCTCTCTGCCCCTGCACCGCCCGCGGTGCCCAAGCGGCCGCGTGCGCGCCCCGCCTCCGCCGCTCCCCTCGGCGGCCGGGCCGGCCTCCCCCTCCCCCCCCCGCGGTCGTCCTCTGCTGCCTCGCCCCCTCCGCGCCCCCCGCGCCCGGCGCGCCCCTGCCGGACCCGCCCCCGGCCTCCACCCGCCGCCGTCGCGACGGCGGGCGCGGAGCCCGCCGCCGCAGCCGCCTCCTTACGCACCGAGCGCGTGCCACCACTCGCAGAGTGCCTGCTCGCAAATGCGTCCGAGAGAACATGTGTTTGTTTCGATGGAGTTTCGGCAGGTCCCCCGCGGCGGACCCAGGCCGTCTTGCGAGCAGCTGCTTTTGGCGAGGAAGGGAACACGCTCGTCCACGTACCTCCTCCCCCCCCTCCCCTCTCCCCCTCCCCTCCCGCCCCCGGGCCCCTGCCTACCCCCCCCCCCGCCCCTCCTCCCCTCGCCTTCCCCTCGCCGTCCCCGCCTCCCTCGGCGCGCCCCCTGCGGCCCCTCGGCGCGCCGCGCCCCCCCGGCGCTGCCGCGCTCGAGGGCGCCCGGGAGGGCCCCGGCAGCCTCGAGCCCGAGCCTCTCGGGCGCCCGCGGGGCGGCTCCTCCGCCGGCCCGCCGGGGGCCTCTCCCCGCCCCGCCTGCGGGGCGGCGTCGGCGCCCCGTGGGGGCGGGCGTCGGGGACGGCCGACGGGGCGTCAGAGTGGCCCTTCGCCGGAGGGACCTCTTTGGTGCGGGCTCCAAAGGGGGTCCCCCCGATCGCCGGGCGCGACGCGATGTGGTGGCGTCTGGCGCGCTCGTGCCTGCTCCCCCCCCCGCGGCGCCCGTGGAGCCTCGCGCCATGGGGTCACTCTCGCCCAGGGTCACTCGTGCGTGTAGCCGAGGGTAGGTTCAGTGGGGGATGCGCCGACCCCCAATCGCCCACTGCTCGCATGCACCTCCCTCTCTTCCGCCATCCTCCATCTTGTCATCTACCCTTCACCGAGCGTGTTCGACTACTCGCAAAGTGCCTACGCGCAAGTCCTCCTCGATATGATGGGTCATGAATCCCCCGCGGCGGATCCAGGCCGGTTGTGAGTAGTTACTTTGCGAGCAGAGGAACGCGCTCGTCCAGCCCTTGCGGGTTAGTGCACGTGCCAGAGGCCAGCGCCGGTGTCGTCGCGGCACGGGCTTGCCTCACCGCTCTTCTCCTCCTTTCTGCACCCCCTGCTCCTCAGGGGCAACGTTAGGGGGGAGGGATGCATCGCCCCTCAACCGTCAGATAGCCTTGCCCAGGTCTTCTCCTTCTTCCCCCCCTGCTCCTCATGGGCAACGTTTGGGGTGGGGGGGGGGATGCATCGCCCCCAAATCGCCCGATAGCCCTGCCAAGGATCGTGCGGACTCGCTATCGGAGGCCCTGTCCCCGATCTATTGGCGATGCAAGGAGGAGGAGGAGGAGGAGGAGGAGGAGGAGGAGGAGGAGGAGGAGGAGGAGGAGGAGGAGGAGGAGGAGGAGGAGAGGAGGACGAGGACGAGGAGGAGGAGGAGGAGGAGGAGGAGGAGGAGGAGGAGGAGGAGGAGGAGGAGGAGGAGGAAGAGGAAGAGGAGGAGCAGGAGGAGCAGGAGGAGGAGGAGGAGGAGGAGGAGGAGGAGGAGGAGGAGGAGGAGGCGGAGGCGGAGGCGGAGCAGGAGGAGGAGGAGGAGGAGGAGGAGGAGGAGGAGGAGGAGGAGGAGGAGGAGGCCGATTCCAGGTCGATGTCTCCCCCCCTGGGCCAGCCCCCCCCGTAACGTTCCCCCTCAGGGTTGTGTGGGGCGGAGGTCCAGGCGAGTGCGGGAAGCCGCCTTGCAAGAGTCCAAAGCATACACACTGTTCATTCTCAATTCTTCGAAAGTTCTTTGATTTTTTTTGGGGCCAGGATCCTTTCATTTCTAATTCTTCTATCCTGGGCCTCTTCCTGGCCACCAGGGGGCCAGGAGCGATTAGAAACGATCACAGTTAGAAATGAGCACGATTAGCAATGAACGACGTGTATGCTCAGTCGGGCTTGTGGCTTCTTCGGAGGAGTCCGTTGTCCCCGACGGGTGGGAGATCATCTTTGAGCTGCCCGACGTCCTCACGGCGCAGCGCCAGGAGATGACGTTCCACATTTTCAGCGCTCAGGGGGAGACTATCAGCGAGGTGTCAAAGAAGACGAACATTTATCAACATAAACTTTCGGAGGTCCGCGCGGATTTCTTGAATCGGCGCTGAACCCCCCTCCCCTGGCGCGCGGACCGCGCCATGGGCGGCGTTGGAGGCGCCGCCAGGGGGTCAGGCACCGATCCAAGCATTTCCGTGTGGACCTCCATTGGTTTATGCTCCTGTAGTTCTCCTCCTTATGAGGTAGTTGTCGACGAGCACCGGCCAGCCGGTGAGTGTGGCATGCGTGTGGCGCAGATGGACGGAAGGCTGATGGGCACGGTGCACACCGATGCGGTTCACAGGCGGCGCGGAGGCATGCCACACATCTGCCGTCCGTGCGGGGCTGTCTTTGGCACCCTGTCGCGGGAGGACTCCGCGGGCGCGAGCCGCTACGCGCTTCGCGGGGAGGACTGCAGGCTGCTGTTCGTCTTCAAGGGCGACTTTCAGTGCAGGAGAGGGTTCCTCCGAAACCTGCCTTTTGGGGGATCCTGATTCTGTGAGATCTTGGCGTCGCATTTTATTCGCAACCCTCGATTCCGCCTCGTTTCGGGCCCCCGCTCTCGTACGGATCGACGCGGCTCGAAAAATACCCAAGAGAGATGGGGTCCAGGGCATTCTGTAGTTTTTTTCCAGGATGCTGCATTCTGTTCGTGACGTCGGATCTCAGTGTTTCTGCTGTGAGGAAACAGGCTGCCTGGTTGCTGTCAGCCAGTCGGTTCCTCGCGACATGGGTGCCAGTGCCTAGCGCAGATTGTATGCCATATGATGCTAAGGATATGCGCTGTCGCTGTCATGCTCTGCCGTTCTGCTGCTGCTGCTGTTCTATGCTGCGCCATGTTATGACATGGGGTGATCTGGTCAGTAACTAATGCGTGCACCAGACCTACGCTTTGTTGAGGTAGGATCGGCCATGCGATGCTCTGCTAAAGGCATGCTCTGCGATACTAATGCTATGGTGTGCTATTCATTTCTGTGCTGTGACGTGCTTTTTCTATGCTTTGCTGTTCCATGCTTGACGACGTATTGTAATGCTGTGTGATGCCATGATACGGACTGCTCTTCAATGTTATGGTCTGTTGTCATACGCTACGCTACCCTGCGCTATGTGATGTCGTTACGCCATGCAATACTGCGCAATGCTGCTACGCCATGGTTTGCTAGGCGGTGCTATGCTATGCACAGCTGTGCTGTGATATCATTGGCATCGTATAGCACCTCATCGCGCTGCGCTTCACTGCACTGCAGTGCGCTGCACATGTGAGGCGTTCCAGAAAATGGGTTTGCCTTAGAGGACCGAAGGAGTTGTCATCTCCTCCGCTGCTGAAGGCGGCGGAAGGGCGGCGGAAGGTCGGCAGAAGTAAAATGAGGCCGCCTCCGCTGGCGGAAGCAGGCGGAAGTTCGGCGGAAGGCGGCGGAAGCAAAAGATGTGCCCCAAGAGATGAAAACAATTTTGGAACCAGGGCGTTCGAAATCGCCCATTTACCAGGAAGTTGGACGCACACGACGCGGCGAGTCTGGGCGAGAGCTGAACCATGCCGCAAGTGCCTTTGCAGCGCTTGGGGCCCTGCTGTGGCAGGGGGTATGCCAGCTCTTCGCATGGCATGTGTATCCATCCGTCCGGGTGTTCCGCACGTGAATCCAGCCACGCGTGTGTGTGTGTGTGTGTGTGTGTGTGTGTGCGTGTGCTCCATGGGGGGGTGGGGGGTCTGGGGGGGGTGGGGAGGGTGGGGGGGGGGGCTGAGCAGACGAGGTGGCCGCAGCGGGGGGGAGGGGCGGATGGCACATGCTGGCCAATTCGCTTTTCGGTTGCCTCGAATCGCTTCTCGCTGGTGCGGATCACCTCTGCCTCGCCGCCGACGGAAGAAGTGTGTGTGTGTGTGTGTGTGCGCGTTCTAGCGCGCGCGTGTGTGTATGTGTGTGTGTGTGTGTGTGTGTTCCACCGCCTTCGGAAGGAGTGATATAACCTTGAGATCCGACGTCGCGAACAAGCTGCAAGAGCGCGAGTAATCACGACCAGAGCCGGATCGATCTGTGAGGGTCCCAGGGCACGAAGCCGGTCCAATACGCCCGGTGTGAAAAATTTGCCGCGCCCGGATCTCTCAGGGGAGAGGATGACATGTACACCCAGTCAGGGGCCGCGCTGGGGCCACCCATCCTCTCGGGCTCCCCGAGGAGAGTCAGCGTGCTGAGGGCGGACGACGGGCAGAAGGTGTGTGTCGTCGAGCCAGCCCCGAGCTCGGACCTGCGGGAGCCCCGCTACCAGGCAAAGGTCTGCGAGGGCACCGACGCCAGCGTGGTGCTCTGCGGGCTGCTCGCCATAGACAAGGTACCACGGGCCACGCTAGGGAGGGATAGGCTCAGGGGGCTCAGGGATAGGATCCTCCTCCTCTTCTCTTCCTCCTCCTACTCCTCCTCCTCTGCATCCTCCTCCTCCTCCTCCTCCTCATCATCATCATCTTCCTCCTCATCTTCCTCCTCTTCTTCCTCCTCCTCCCGCCCGTGGATCGCCGCTGGTGGCCTGGTTGCCCACCCCGCCCAGGACCGTTCGGACTCGCTGTCGGGGGCCTGTCGCCGATTCCAGTTCGATGCTCCCCCCCCCCCTGAGCTTGCTCCCCCCCCAGCGCTTCCCCCTCGAAGGTGCACGGAGGCCGAGAGTCTGAGTGATGGGGCGGCGCCGAGCCTGCATGGATGTTCGAGGAAGCAAGGGCACGGCACGAGCATACAGTGCACACCCGTGCCGGGACGCACCCTGCCTGCCTCCAGCGTGCACTGGGTTTCTTGGGTTTCGGTGGCCTTGCCGTGGGAAGCGTGGCGCTCCCACGCCGAAAAGCAGCGGACGTCCTGGGGTCTCAGGGCTGGGCTTCTCGCTGAAGGTCTCTCGTGGTCGAGCTCCCACTGCGCCTGGATGTGCGCAGGAGCGAGAGCGGCACGAGCCTGAGGGCTCGGAGGTCTGCGCCCCTCTCTCGTGGCCCGTCGCTGGGCCTCCCTCCCCCGGCCGCACCCGGGGGCGCCGCCGGAGGCGCCGACAGGGGCGCCCATCGCCGACCCGCTCGGCATCGCTCGGACGTGTGCGCCTCTGCTCGGCGAGGACCGTCGAAGGGCAGCCCCGAGCATCGAGCAGAGCAGAAGGCACGCACGACACAGAAGAGCTGCGCGGGGACTGGGCGTCCGAGCGATGGCGAGGGGGGGGGGGGCCCAGCGCCGATCCAAGAACTCCGCGCGGAGCTCCGAACGTGCATGTTCCTGCGGCCTCCTCCCTCGACGACGGGCAGGAGGACGGGAGGAGGGCGGACGGAGACCACCTGCTGGAGGCGCCGGCCCCACATGATGGGGGGCCTCTCTCGACCCCTTCCCCGGGACCGGGCTGTCACCGCCCACCAAGCCACCCCGACCCAACCCCCCGAGGCTTCAATGTGCCTTCGTTTCCAAAGGGGGGGGGTGGGGGGGGGGGGAACGGGGAGCACCGAGAAAACACAGATGGTCCCCGTAGCCCCCCCCCGCCAGCCCGAAGTTCGTGTCCAATGCGTGTCTTCGGGTTGGGCTTTGGGGTGGTCTGGCAGGCAGTCCGGCTGGCGCTCCCCGCCCCGGGCCCGCTCTCCCGCAGCGGCCCTGCGGCCCTGCAGAGGACCTCCGACGGCTTGGGCCTGCGCAGCTCTTCGCGGCATCCCTTCCCGGCCACGCCCGGGGCGGGCCTCGGCGTGGAGGAGGGGGGGGTGGAGGATCGGGTCGGGCGAAAGGGGGGGTTTGGGAAAGGGGGGGTTACGAAATCTGCTGCATGCAGCTGGTTTCTGCCCCGCCGCCGGGCCCATTCCTCGATACATAGCCGCCTCCAGCGCCAGGAAAATTAGCTACTTGAGCTGATTCTCAACCCCCCCCTTTGCTATCCCCCCCTTTCGCCCGACCCGAGTGGAGGAGGGGGGGGTGGAGGAGGGAGGAGGGAAGCACGTCGCATGCGATTATCAGCACGCTCCTGGCGTGGCGTTCAGTCGTCCGCAACGTATCGTCACATACATTCTCCTTCTACCTGTCCTGCGCACGCAGGCGCTGTGGCGGCAGCGCGCCTCGGCCTGCGGTCTTCGCAGGAGGCGGCCGCGTGCCCCCACCGGGCCTGGGCAGGGCCCTCCGGGGCCCCGGCTCCGTCTTGTCTGGCGCGTGCGCCCGTCGCCGGCCTCGAGCGATGGGGGGGGGAAAGTGAGGAGGGGAAGAGGGCCCTCTCAGAAGGCGGCGGGGCTTCTCAGAAGCCCCCTTGGCCCTCTGAGAAGTTGTCGGTGTCTTCGCGGAAGGCTCAGACAACTTCGCAGAAGGCCGGAGGACTTCCGAGCCCTCTGAGAAGGCCTTCCCCTTCTGGCTTCCTCCCGGGCGTGCCGCCGACTTCTGGCCAAGGCTAGGAGGATCTATACACCATCCTGGTGCCCAAGATGGCACTGGCCAGGCATACGTACAGACGCCTTCTGCAGATATGTGGCGTTTTCCTACACCGAGGGGCACCTCAGGGAGAAACGAGATCGCTCTCCCATGGCCCCTCGCACGCCCCCCCGTTTTACTCGCGATTCTGCGCTCGCCCGTTCCTGGCTCCCTCCGCTCTGATTCTCATTATTTCTCTTTCTTCGTGTTGCTGTCGTTTCCGCCACTGCGTGATGCACATGTCATCTCCGCAGACGCATGTACTATTAGGTCGCATAATTATTGTTAGTTGATGCGGGTGTCATCGACGTAGGCGCCCTCGCCTCGTCAGGTGTAGCCGCTAGTGCAGAGTAGTCTCACCATCAGCCGCAGTTGCGGCGGTCACAAAGGCGTGAGCTCCGGTCGACCCCGAGTCACCCAGGGCATCGGACGCAAGCGTCTTACAGCAGACGTTGCCGCGCTGCCCTCTTTAGCCGTCACTGCGTGGTGCATACGCCATCTCTGCAGACGCACGTAGCCAGGTGCCTGCGGCAAATCCGCCACCAGGCCAGCGCAGGACTCTTGTGCGGCGGCCCTTCGAGCACCTCCCATATCTCGTTTCCAATTTTTGAGGAGCTGTCACGGAGGCTATTCGGGCCGTCTGGGTGCTGCCTTGGGTTTCTACGGGGCATTCTTGGGAGGTTTTGGAGCCGTTTGGCCCTTCTTGGGCCCTATTGAGCCGTCTCGGACTCCTCTTGGCCGTCGGGGGGGTTCCTTGAGGCCGTCGCGGGGCCGTCTGTGGGCCTTTTTTCAGCTGTCGAGGGCCCCCTCAGGCCTCCTGGGGTTTTTCGGGAGGCCCTCTGGGGCCACCCTGGGGCTCTCCTTCAGCCGTCCTGGGCCGACCAGGCGCCCCCTTGGGGCTCTCAGAGGGCTCCTTTGGGCCCTCGAGGACCGCAGGTGAACCAATCTTCGACCAAACAGCGTGGAACGCAGAGTGCATGGACAAAAACTGACAACCAGAGGAAATCAATACTTCTTGCGCAGGCGCAGGTGGCAGCTCCCTAGGCAGCCGCGAGGCCGAGCCTGGATGTGCGTAGGATGCCACTCCGCTGGACCTCCCAGGAGCCCACGACCGTGGCGATAGCCCCCCCAGGGAGCCGCGAGGTCCAGCCGCGGGAGTCGCGAGCCCCCCGAGGGAGCCGAGAGGTAGGAGGCAGGAGGAGCGAGGAGGCGGGAGGAAGGACTCGCGCGAGACTTGCTCTATTCAAAGTTAGAACTCGCCAGAGGAGGGGTGGAAATAAGACAGGAAGCGGGAGTCAGGAGGGGGAGGAGGAGGAGGAGGAGAAGGAGGAGAAGGAGGAGGCAGAAGGAGGAGGAGGAGGAGGAGAAGGAGAAGAAGGAGGAGGAGGAGGAGGAGGAGGAGGAGGAGGAGAGGACGGGTTGAAGACTTCAGTGCTCTATTCAAAACGAGTGCCCAACCAGAGGATGGTTGGGAACAGGTCATCTCCCAGAAACCTCAGGGGAGCGGGTCGGTGCACGCAGGGAAGTGTGGTCTGTGTGGGGTGTGGGGGGGGCGGCCCTTCAAAAGTCTGTAGAAACCCAGTCGGACAGCACTTGGCATTCTACCAAGCCTAAGCGTGCCAAGGGGCACGGTGGCGGATCATTAGGTTGTGCAGGCGCCATCGCCGCCGGTCCGTATAGCCTCGTCAGGAGAACAAGGTTTGCGTGTCGCCGCTCCCCGCAACAGAATGAAAGTGAGCCGAACCGAAGACGCCCCCAGACGTCCTCCAGACCCTTCCAAATGGTCCCAACAGGCTCGAAGAGGCCCCACACTCGTGAAGCTTATTTTCGTGTTGTTTCGTTCTTTCCGTCGTGTGTCCGCCCCTGTGTCGACGCCCCACAAACGTCATCCTCTGACTCCCTGTCCTCTTCCGTCCTCTGACACCCATGGCCCCTCCCAACTCTTCCGTCTCGCTTGCCCATTCTCTGATCCTGGGTACGCTTGTCGCTTGGTTGCCTCAATCGCCTCCGCGAACCTGTCGAGATGCTGCTGGACGCTGGCGCGGTAGTGCTCATTCTCCTGCCTGCCTTCAATCATCCTGCCGCCCACTCAGCGTGGGCCATCGCGGCATCCTGCAGCTCCGGAGCGGTCGCCGCGGTGACGGCTGAGGTCGCCGTGTGCTTCTTCCAGGGGGCGGTGGCCTCTCTTTGGTGGGCTCGGCCCTCGGCCTGGCCTGGGCTGCACTGCTCGGAGGGTACCAACTATACACCGACACCGATCTTGGCCAGGCCAATCCTGGGCCCAGGATCGGTGTATATGCCTTCTTGCCCCAGGCAGGAGGGCGTATACACCGATCCTGGGCCCAGGGTGATCCTGGCCGGGATCGGTGTTGGTGTATAGTTGGTGCCCTCCTAACTGCCTCCTCTGCTGGCCCTCCTCTTCGGCTTCCAGACTGGGCCTCCTTCTCCTCCTCGACCCGATGCGCCACCAGGAGGCCTCGCCGAGGAGCAGGAACGGAACAGGGCGTCCTCCTCCTATCCCCTCCTTGCTCCTCCCCCTCCTTGCTCCTCCTGCTCCTGCTCCTCCTCCTCCTCCTCCTCCTCCTCCTCCTCCTTCCGTAGCCATTTTGGCTCAAGATGCAGGTTTCCCCAGGGAACCAAGCGGATACCGCTAGTCCGCGGCTGGCAAGACTTCTTGAAGTCTGGCATCATATCTGGTCCACCTCGCCAGCGCTCGGGTCGGTGGGTAAAAACGGAGGCCTTTCCCGTTCCTGTCGGCCCGATCGCTCCCAGCTTCGAAGCCATGGGCCCTGCGCGGGACGGCGCGCATGTGGGCGATGGCTGTGCTGCTGGTGCTGCTGGCCGTGCACCCTCCTCGGGCGGCTCCTCCTCGTCTTCCCGGCGTGGTCGCTGCTGGCGTGCCACCCCCGCCTGAGACGGGGCCTGCTTGGAGCCGTGCGATCGACCGCGCGGTCATGGTCGTCACCTGCAAGGCCCCGCTCATGCGTGCGGCGGTGGAGCGTGCCTTGGCGCCCATGCTGGGGGATGCGCAGCTCACGGAGGTCTCGAAGTTTGAGGGCGATGACCTGGGCCAGCGCTTCGTGGTCAGGATGGAGGGTGACGTGGGCCTGGCTGAGCGCAGGGTGCGCAAGTTGGTGGCCACGCTTCGCGGCGGAGGCCCTGGCGGCACCTGGCGTCAAGTTGCGGCCACGACCCCGACTGGCCACACCACGCCGCTGTCACCCAGCAAGGACAAGAACTCGCGCCAGGTGTCCTACGAGATTACGCTCAAGAAGATGCGACGTGCGCCCGAGGAGGGTCTCTCGAAGCGCATCTTCGTCGACCCTGTTGGTCCTGACCAGATGGAAGGCACCCTCTCCATGGCTTGGCAGCCCCTGGTCAAGATCGCGATCGAGGGCCCAGGTTCCCCACCGGTTGTCCAGTGGAACGCTGCCGTCCTTCGCCGACACCAACTTCCTCGTGAGCAGCTGGAGCAGATGGTGGCGCCCGTCCTGGCCCCGTCGACGGCGGAGTGGTGCCTTTGACAAGGCTGCGGCCCGCTGGGGTCGGCGGCGGAGGGATGAGGGCGCCGCTGAGCTTGGGGGAGGGCCTAGTCGAGACGAAGATGGTGGTGCTGTGGGAACTGGTCTTGGGCACGGGCATGTTGATCCTGTCGGTCCGCGTGCTGCTGCGGCTGACTTCGTGCTCACCTCTGCCGCGTGGAACGCTAGGGCGCTGTGCCACTTCAAGCCTGCTACGGCGAAGGCGAGGGCGAAGTTCCTTGCCAAGTTTTGGAAGCGCGACTCGGTCATATTGGGACTTCAGGAGGTGCACGGCTCGCACATCCGCTTGACTGAGCTGCTCAAACATGTGGGTATTCGAGCCCGTGTGTTTACTTCGTTCTGTGAGGGAGAACGTGAAGATACTGGCGGGATGGCCACTCTTTTCTTTATGCGTAGGGCGGATGATGATGAGAGCGTGGTGTGGGAATCGTCAATGCTGGTGCCTGGCAGGGTTATGCGTATCCGTGCCAAGTTCAGTGATGACGCTGGGTGGCCCTGCACGCTCACACACTGGAACATTCACAACCACGGCTTGGACTGCGGATCGCAACGACGTGTCCAGGCAAAGATCTCGGATGACCTCCTCGAGGCCAAGCGGGACCCCGTCAAGGCAGCTGTATTTGTTGTGGGCGACTTCAATTTCGGCGACAGGCTGGAGCACTGCCATTTTGGCGACGACGCTCCTCCACGATCTGTCGCTGCAGCTCGTCGCCCGCAAGAGCAGCGTTGGCAGCGCTGCTTGAGTGATGCTGTGGAGATGGTTGCCCCGTGTGCGACCCACTGGCATGCTGGCCGCCAGATTGAGACCAGGATCGATCGGGTCTTCCTGGGAGTTCCGTCCTGGCTGGTGACCCAACGCTTCCAGCAATGCGAGGTGCTGGGTGAGCCTGAGGAGCTGCACAGGATAGACATCAGCGACCACGCGCCTGTCCTGATCTCCTGGATGTGGCGCCCGCTGCGCCCACGAGATCCGCTCAGGCCAGCCCCGATCCCCCAGGACATTGTGAACTCCCCCATGTTCAAGGAGAAGCTGGCCCAGTACGTGGAGGTGCTGGACCTGTCGTCGCGTGCCCCGCCTGACATGTACCAGGTGTACGTGCGAGCCATGCAGGCGGCTGCGGCAGAGACACGTGATGCGCAGCTGCATGGCATGGCATGGTCGAAGCGGTGCACGGCGCTGATCTTCAGACAAGTGGCAAGGGTGGTGGCGCGCCAGCACGTCTCGATGGCGGAGAGGCTCCTCGTTCGCCACACCTGGCTGGATGAGCTGATGGCTGTTGATGTGATGAAGGGCATGGTGATGCTGAAGGACCACGCGGAGTTCCTCAGACGCTTTGTCCTGGCGCAGCGACGCGTGGCCAGGGCCAGGCGTGCCGAGCTTCAGGCGGAGCCTGAAGCAGATGAGGAACAGCTACGAGTTTCTGATCGCCGTCGGCTCCTTGGACAGCGCCGAGCCCTGGAACGTCGTGCTGCTCTCTGGTCGGTTCTCCCGCGGCGGCACCTTGCGGCCGTGGAGGCCCCTGGCGGCAGGCTGCTCACCTCGCCTGCCGAGATCCACGAGGCGCTGGCGAACCACTGGGGCGAGGTCTTCTGCCCCCCCGCTCGTGCAGCGTGCCTGGCAGCGGAGAACGACGCCTCGGAGCGCTGCCGGCGCGAGCGTGACTCCAAGGCCTTCATCGCGAAGTACGGCATGAAGGAGGTTGACTGGAGCTCCCTGGCGCCTCCCTCGGCCATGAACATCGAGGAGGCTCTGAGGCGCGCTCGGCCTGCTGCACCTGGGGTCGATGGCCTGCCCGCGCGGGCGTGGCTGTCGCACTCAGCGGGCTGCGAGGTGCTCCTGGCGGCCCAGAGATGGATGGCTTTGGGCCGTCCCCTGCGCAGGGACATGGGCATCGCCATCTTCCCGCCGAAGAAGGTGCTGGACGGCGACGGCGTGAGGGTCATCAGGAAGCCGAATGAGACACGTCCATTCATGCTGCGCTCCACGGGCCCCAAGGCCATCGCCTCTGCGGTGAACTTCAAGCTGAAGAGCATGATCGACCGTGGCGCCTCGAAGGCGCAGCGAGGCTTCATCACGGGGCGGAACTTCCTGGATAACCTGGTGGAGCTCGATGCCATGTCCCGCGTCGCCTCCATGTGCGCGTTGGAGCAAGCTCGAGGCTGGGAGGAGCCGACCCTCCTGAGCTTTGACTTCGCTCACGCCTTCCCGTCGCTCCTCCATGACTGGATGTGGTGGGTGTTGGAGGCGTGGACGGTGCCGCTCGGCCTGGAGCATCTGCTGAAGGAGTCCTACGCCAACGTCGAGGTCGTGGAGGCGGGGCCCTGCCACTGGGCCCTCCTCGTCATATTGTGCGGGATCTTGCAGGGTGACCCGCTCTCGGGGACGATGTTCGTGATCGGTGCGCAGCCGTTCGTGGAGGCGCACTTGCAGCAGCTGAAGGCCAAGGCCCTTGGCCTGACTCGCTGGTGTGCTGATGACATCCAGGCCCTGATCTTCTGCAGGCGGGGGCTCCGCGCACTGGCGAGGATCTTCCGCCTCGCGGAGCCGCCTCGCTGGCCTCCAGCTCCAGCCCAAGAAGTGCGCGGCCGTCCCGCTTTGGGCTCCGTTCTCGGCGGAGGTGGAGGACGCGATGTGGAAGTGCCTGGGCGAGGCCTGCGGGTGGGGCTCCTTCGCCGTGGCCTCGTCGGTCGAGCTGCTGGGGTCCTTGGTGGGCCCTGCCTGGTGCATCGCTGGGGGCCCAGTGGGCTGCGCCACTCGCGCGCCTGCGTGAACGGGTCCTGGCGCTGGCGGCATCTTCGCTGGACATGACGGCCGCCTTCTTCGAGCGTGGCCGTCGATGCCAGCCCGTCCTGGCCTACAAGGCGCAGCTCTGGCCGATGCCGACGGAGCTGATTGACGATGAGCGCTTCCTGCTGTGCCGGCTTGCGAGGTGCTCGGGAAGCTTGTTCAAGAAGAACACGTTCTTCGACTTAGAGACGCTGGGGGGTCCAAGATGCGTGCCCACGTCGGACCTCCTGGCGGCGCCCCTCATGCGCTCGGCCCTCTCGACGCTGGAGACATGGCGTCGGGCCGCTGCGCGCCTGAGTGAGGTGGCCTCCCGCAGGCTGCCGATGGTGCGATGCATGTCAGGCCGGCCCTGGCCTTCCTGGTGGGGGGCGCCCGCCCCCGCAGTCACGCTGGCGCGCGCAGAGGCGGCGGGGCGCGAGCTGCTCGAAAAGAGCGGCGCTCCCCCTCTCCTTCCCTCTAGAAAAAGGTGGGGCGGGTCGGTGGGAGGACGGGCGGAGGAAACGGCTGCGGCGTGAGCTTTTAGTGGGCCTGCGGGCCTCCAGGGATGGGAATCTGCGGGGCCTTGTCTCGGAGAGGCTCCCCAAATGGTTCGGGGTGCCCCCCCTGGAGGCTGCGGCTGTAGTGTGGCATGACGTGGGGCAGGTCCTGATGCGTGCGCCCCCGAGCTGGAGGTGTGCATGCATCAAGACCTGGCTCGGGGGCTGGGTCACAGACACCCGTCTCCAGAATCGAGACCGTAGATGCTGCCTGGGTTGTGATGCTCCAGATAGCCTGAAGCACTATTTCTGGTGTCTGCACTTTCGTGAGCTGGTGCGGGTGGCCCTTGGTCGTCCGTTGCCCAGTGATCCTCTCTCTGCCCTGGCCCTCGCTGTCCCCACGCTGGATTCGGCTCGAGGAGTTGCGTTGATGTTCCATGTGCACCGCCTTCTCCACCTTGAGAAGCGCGAAGCCACCAGAGGGACGGTCCCTGCCTCGGTCGCCCGCTCGATCGCCAAGGCTGCGCGTCAAGCTGTGGACCTCCCTGCTGGAGGCAATTCGGCCCGACGGGCCCGTAGAGTGGCTAGGTAAGGATATCAGACTTTCCTGAGGACGCTCCGCCTCCTCCTCCTCCTCCTCCTCCTCCTCCTCCTCCTCCCCTCCCCATCCTCCTCCCCCTCCTCCTCCTCCTTCCTTCCTCCTCCTTTCCTCCTCCCTCCTCCTCCTCCTCCTCCTCCTCCTCCTCCTCCCTCTCCTCCTCCCTCCTCCCTCCTCCCTCCTCCCTCTCCCTCCTCCCTCCCTCCTCCTCCTCCTCCTCCTCCTCCTCCTCCTCCTCCTCCTCCTCCTCATCTTCCTCCTCCCCCTCCTCCTGCTCCTCAGTCGGCAGGTCGGCTCGTGGGTTGCACCCGGTGTGCCTGGCGACTCTTTGAGTCGCACGCCAGATGAGGACGTGCAGAGCTTGGATTTCACTTGTCTGTGTGATGCTGGTTTCCAGACTGTGCCGCGGTGCTTGTACGTGCATGTGTGGTTGGGCACCCTGGCGCTGCGGCCGTTGCAGGTCCACAGTGTCCTTTCCAGTCCTGCTGGCCTCTCGGCGCCACGCCTCTGGAGTCGGCGTCGGCTCTGTGCGGCCTCGATTCGCAGAGGCAGTCTGGCGTCCGATCGTACCTCGTAGGTTCGTCGGCGGCAGTGCTGCTCCAGCAGATGCTCGGCAATCGCCGCCCGCCCAACGAGTCTTCCCCCGCGCACATCCGGAGACGCACGCGCACAGCCGTCTAAGAAGCACTGCGAGTGACTGCTGGCACGGTGGGTGTGGCGGTGTTGCGCAAGCTGTGCGCCATGGCGTCAGAGATGCAGCATGCAAGGCCCATGCGCACCACGCTGCAGCTACTCCTTGGCATCATGCCCTTGCGTTCTGTCCTGTGGTGGCGCACTGTGCAGCGCTCTGGGTCCTGGCCCGGTCCCCAGAAGCAGCGGAGGCCTCTGGAGACCAACAAAAAGAGCCAGAGGCATCCCAGAGACCTTCCCAGGCAGCCGGTGTCGTGCTCTTTTCCCTTGGTTGGGTTCTCGTTTTGGCCAGAGCAGTGCGGGCCCCACCTCCTTCTCCTCATTCCGCCTCCCTCCTCCCTCCTCCCCGCCTCCCCTTCATCCCTTCCCCTCAGCCCGCTCTCTTTCCTGTTTAGTCGTCCTCTCCCTCGTCGGGGCCTCGCGGGCCCGGCGGGGCTGCGAACCGCGCAATGGTCGCCACTTTCGTGGGCGCCTGAGAGGTCCAGCGGTGTGGAGGTCCACGCGGACTTGCCGAGACCTCGCGGCTCCCTGGGGGCTTGCGAATCGCGCAATTGTCGCCACTTCGGTGGGCGCCTGGGAGGTCCAGCAGAGCGGAGGTCCACGCGGACCTGCCGAGACCCCGCGGCTCCTTGCAGGGGCTACCCAGCCGAGGCCTCGCGGGCCTCGGGAGGCTGCGGACCGCGCACCTGGCCTCCATCTCGTGGGCTCCTGGGAAGTCCAGCGGAGCGGAGGTCCACGCGGACCCAGCCTAGACCTTGTGGCTTCCTGGGAGGGCTGCCAAGTGCGCGTCTTTCATCATGTTCGTTTGTGCTGCGCGGTCCTCAATACAGCTGCCCCGTGTTGGAAAAGGTTGGATACGCCACAGGGTAATTTTTCGCTACGGGCTCCCCGGAGCTCCCGACACCTTCCAGGGAGCCTGTTTCTCGTCTCGTGCAGGCCTTCGGTGGCCCTGGCGGCGACGACTGTCACACTGCCGCCCCAGACCGACACGCAGGCCCAGTTCCCTTGAAGACACGTAAGACCCCCCGTGCAAGCACTGTTTGGTGAATTTTCTAGACGCTTCGCGTAAGCCCACCGGGGGGTCTGATTGACTCGCCCTCTGGACTTTTACTTGCGGGCCGCCGATCAAAAAAGTAAGCCCACCGGGTAGCCCCGTACCGTGACCGGGACGCCGCTTCCGCTCCCTGTCCGTTGCCTTGGAGCCGCCGACCAAAAAAGTAAGCCCACCGGGGCTGCCAGGACCTTTCAACTCGGCGCCTGCGCTTTCGCTTGCGCCCGCGAGGAAAAAGTAAGCCCACCGGGTGTTTATGGTCGCGCCGCCGCGCCATTTTGGCTGCGCTTCCTTGCTGGTCGCCACCGGGATCTCCGTGCCGACGGGTGGGGAGTTTCGCTTCTGGCTCTTCTTCTGAGTGGCTGCCCGCGCGCTCGCTTCGCTTGCATCTCTTTTCTTGCTTCCTAGTCGCGGCCCGACTAGTGTTCGGACGGCTTTCGACCTGCTTCGCGAGCCCGCAGAGCGAAAAATAAGCCCACTGGGGCCCGCCGTAGCATGCTCGGCGTTCGACTTACTTCGCGCGCCCGCTGACAAAAAGTAAGCCCACGGGCCCATCGACGATGCCCAGGCGAGTTGCCCTGATCGGGGATGTGGAGGAGCATGCAGTTGAATGACAGGGTGGGAAAGCCGTCGGACCCCTCAGAGGGGGAACGCTGCGGAGGAATCGGAGGAGTAGGATGAGTATGAGGATGAGGATGCGAATGAGGAGGAGGATGAGGCTGAGGAGGAGGAGAGGAGGATGAGGAGGGGGAGGAGGAGGAGGAGGAGGAGGAGGAGGAGGAGGAGGACGAGCAGAAAGGCCAGAGGCTTCTTGTATACTTCTCCGAGTCTCTTCCGATGTCTGTTGAAAGCTTTTTGGAGCCTTCTTGGGACGTCTTGAGGGCCTTTCGGCGGCCCAGGGGGCCTCTTGGAGCGTCTGAGGTGCCTCGGGAGAGCCTCTTGGGGCCTCTTGGGGGCCTTCTTGGGGTCCTGTTGGGGGCCTTCGAGGCCATATTTGGACCATTGTCGGAGGAGTTCGATTAAAGAAGAAGGGGTTTGAATTAGTTTCCCCCCCTCATAACCCTTGGAATCGCCTCTTGGAGCGCTCTCGGAGCGCTCTTGGACGCTCTCGGGGCCGTGTTGGGGCCCTCTTGGGCTCCTCTTGGGGCTCTCTTGCGTCTTCTTGAAGCCACCTTGAGACCTTGGGTTGGCTTCTTGGTGGCTTCCTTGGAAGGCTCCGTGGCCAGTTGGAGCCGTCTTGGGGCGGTTCTGGGGCCTCTTGAAGCATGTTGGAAACCATCTTGGGCTATCTTGAGCCATCTTGAGCCATCTCGGAGGCCATCTTCGGCTCTCTGATGCCCTCTTGGCGCCATCTTGGGCCACCTTGGACGCTTCAGCACCCCCCCCCCTCCAGGCTCTCGGGGTCGCGGCAAGCTGTCTCGCTCACTCCCACCCGCCCTCCCATTACAGAAATAGCACCCGCGTTTCAGCATAAGAAGGGGCATTCATCGAATACCGCCGGGGAACAGTGCAGACGCCAGCCAGGTGCGCGACGCCCGGGAGGTGCGCGCACATGCCAGGTGCGCCATGTCGTGCAATGTGTCCCCCCTCCCACCGTCCCTGTCAAACACCAATGCACAGCGACGGCCAGTTTACCAGCATTGTGTGCGTGTGTGTGTGCGTGTGTGCGTGTGTGTGTGCGTGTGTGTGTGTGTGTGTGTGTGTGTGTGTTTGTGTGTGTGTGTGCGTGTGTGCGTGCGTGCGTGCGTGTGTGCGTGTGTGTGTGTGTGTGCGTGTGTGTGCGTGTGTGTGCGTGTGTGTGCGTGTGTGTGTGTGTGCGTGTGTGTGTGTGTGTGCGTGTGTGCGTGTGCGTGTGTGCGTGTGTGTGTGTGTTTGCGTGTGTGCGTGTGT